TATGATGTGAAATACACTTAGAAAGGATCATATGGAGAATTAAGTTTGATAACATTTTACGATGTGTATCTCATTATTTTAGTTTACAGATTTCTGTAAATGTTCAATTATGTGCTGCTAATTCAAACTTTTAATATCCTTTGAATATTATTGTTGACCTCATTAAACTGTTTATTTTACCTCATTGATTTTTTTACTTCATACAGTATTCTGTGAAGAGTATTATAGGTTTACTTTGTCCGTCTGTCCGATGTCACGTTTTGTGTCTGCATGATAATTCGAAAACGAGAAATGATATCAATTTGAAAATTTTAAGCAAAAATGTAGCTCTATAAGGAGATAAAGCCTATTGCTTTTTAACAACTCTGATTAAAAATAGGGGGTTAAGATGGGTTGAAATTAAAAAAAAATCCTAAATTAAAAACGAAAAGAGATATCAATATTAAATTTTAAGTAAAAATGAAGCTTTATAAGAAGATAAAGCCTATTGATAGTGAAAAAAAAATATATGATTGTATTGGGGAGTTAAGAGGGTTAAAATATAAAAAAAATCTTAACTGAAAAACGAAAAATGATATCAACTTGAAATTTTTAGCAAACATCAAGCTCTAAAAGGAGAAAAAGCCCTTTAATTATAGAAAAAATCTAAATAAATATGGGGGATTTAAGGAGGGTTCAAATTAAAATTAAAAACAAAAAATCAAAAATGAAAAGCGATATCAACATGAAATTTTTAGTAAAAATCAAGCCCTATAAGGAGATGTGGCCTATTGATTGTGAAAACAATATGATAGAAAATGGGTAGTTATGGGGGTCTGTTAAACTGTGAAGAGTATCATTTAGAATGCCAAGCATTATATATCTTTATTCTAGTTTGTATTTGTGTAATAATATGTATTGTGATGGGACTGATCTTATAAAATAAACATTTTAGTTCTTATTTTATTTAAAAGTTATTATTTTAAAAGGTATTTAAAAAATATATTTTTTATTTGACATCTGTGACAAATTGTAAAAATGATTAAACTTAACAATAAAAACTGAAAAATGGTAGGTAAAGTTTCATATATTTTTTACACAAAAATCAATGTCAAGCTTTCTACATAACGTTATATATATTTAAAAATAATCTCAAATTATGAAGAAAAGTCAGTTTACTAACTAATAATGTTTATAGATGGTTTTCAATGTATTAAAAACAAAACAAATATTACACTAACTAAAATATTGAAAATTTATTTAGGTTATTTTGTTTATTATAGTTTGAATATTCAGTAAAAAATTTAAAATTATAGCATTTTAAATTTTAAGGTATATTATTTAATTCAAGAAAATTAGAATTTTCGTCAATTTCGGATTTTAAAACGTTCATAACAATTAAAGGCTTAAAGATACGATGATGGACGTAAGGATTTTTTTTATTCGAAAGATCCTAAAGAATATAAAAAAAATAATTCATTGCAAAAAATGCATTTATTCTGGCTTAATTAATTTTTCGTTGTTTAAACAATAACATCAACAGATATCGAGTGTCATCTTACACTTTTATAATCAGGAAAGCCTTCCGGACATTTAAAAAAAAAATTACGAATTAAAACAATTTTGCAAACGAATGCGCCACAATGCCCTGCACTAAAATAAGTTTTTGTTCTTCTAAATTTAAATTTCATAGATAGTTTGTATCTAGTAATAAATCGCAGTAAATTTTTTTATAATTATTAAGTAAGATGATGCAATTTTTAGACAAGACATTGTCTATTTATTTATACTAAAGTCCAAAGGAAAAATAATTAAGAAAAAGGGATAACATTACTCTTAAGGAAACTCGTTCATAATGAATTTGTTATAAGTAGTTATGGTACAAAATAGTTTATTTTAATTGTATTAGGGGTCTATTCTGTAACAATTCCTTTATATTTAACGGCCTTTAAAAATATTTTCTTCTTTACTTCTGTCACTATTTAAACGGATCTTTAAAATACATTAAAGAACTATCTTAAAGAAATCTGTTTAAGTAATGACAGAAGTAAATTAACGAATACGAAAATATTTTAAAGGCCGCCAATATTTTTAAAGGCCGTTAAATATAAAGGAATTATTACAGAATAGACCCCTTAGAATGTTAACTTTTTCTATTTTATATTTTTTAACATTAACACTCGAACTTTTGTCAGGCTCTCTTTTGATAAATCTTTAGAAACAAATTAAATATATCCCTTATTAAAATTATATGTATAATTTGCAGTTTCTTTATCTTTATAAACATTTTTTTTTTGTTATAAATCAAAAACTAATTAAAACAGTATAGGAGGAATACAGTGCATGCATGTCGAAAACTATATCTGGATGCAATGTTTTGTCAAAATTGTCAAAATTCTTTAAAAATATGCCAAATATTAGGTAAATTCAGTTTGCCATGGGAGACGATGTGGTCCCTTTTTGTTTAAAACGAATTTGTATGAACAATTCCTGAAAAATGTTATATTTAAATTGATACCTACATTTTTCATTTTATTTACTTTAATACAAATAAAAAACCTCATATTTTTTTGATACAGTAAATATTTTAGAAAATATGAATTTTTCACGTTTCAATAATCAAGATTTCGATGTAATCGAATTAAATTACGGGTTTTGAGCTTACATTAAATTGTAATTAGATGAAACAAAATGGATTCTATGTATTTTGAGGTGATCTTTTCGAAAAAAGGCAAAACAAAATGTAGCAGTTTTTCGAAAGTGCCGAAATTTTGGATTTTGTCAATTTTTCAATTTTGCGCAGGCGCATGTCGGAAATAAATCAATATTTTTAAAACGCAGTTTACGACATTTGAAAGCTTAGAAAAAATGCTAATTTTTATGTCTCTTGAGAAATTTTGATCCGATCCACCGTTCTCGCGGTATGGACGATTGAAATTTGTTTAGTATTTTGAGGCGACGAATGTCGAAAAATTGAATTTGTTAAATGTTCAAACACAATTCTTTATAACATTGGTAAAAATTAAGATATTTGAAAAAACAAAAATGCGTTTTGAACTTAAGGGATGTGACTAGTGATTCCCAGAAGGGGGCAAGAGAAATCCCAAAATTGGGCATATGGCGGAAGGGCAAAATGCACCGCGGTCCTAATTTCATTGTTTGCCTATAACGGCCAAACTATTTGAATTATTTTAATGCCACTTACAAAGCTTACTCTTAAATGTGAAATCTTATGTGTATGTGAATTTCACCGACATCGGACCATAATTGGCTAAGATATCAGACAATTAAATAATTTTTTTTTTCAAAAAAAAATTATTTTTTTTTTCGAAAGTTTGAAGTGGCACAAAAATGCACCCAATGGCTCAAAACTTTTTTTTTGAGTACTCTATTGTGTCTAGAATACGATTAAATTACGGAAAATTCTGCAAATTTATTTTATCTATTTTTTTGACCACTGTTCATTGAGTGACGACCAAAAAACACGGTTTTTGAGAAAAGTTGCCTAAAATTGACAATTTTTAGTTTTTTTGTCTGAAAATTAAACAAACCCAAATGTGTATACAAAGTTTAAAGCGTGTATGTTTCTTCTAAGTTGTAGAATTCTCCCGACAAAAGTCCCATTAGACGCGCTCCGCGGGATCCAAAACTCGTGTATACACTACATTACTGTAATTTGATATTTTTGCGTTTTCCAGTTTTAAATTTCTTACATGTCTAAACTTATTAGGCTTAAAATTTATTAAATTGTATTTTACTGACTTGTTATAAGACGTTTCTTGAGTTTTGTGCAAAATATAGAATTACCAGATATTAGCGAACAAAAAGCAAGCTTATCACCAAGTTGGAACTTACACTCAGGCTTAGGATTAATTTCCTAACATTTTTAAAGTATACCTATTTGTGTATTTTTTTGTCCTTTTTTCGATGGCGAAGTTAGTTTTTTCAAAAATATTTTTTTTTGTTAGATGTTTTCGGAAAACCCGGAAAAAATCATATGGGAAAAAAATAAAAAAAAAAACTACGCCTCTGGTTTCCTGCGAATTCTCGAAAAATTATGTCAGATTTCGCCGCGGGACTTATTTTATTTGAGAGCCAACAAAAAAATACGCAACTTCTCTCATGGGCACATACCTATGTCTAACATTTATAATTTCGCCACAAATTCATCGCAAATTTCATGTCCATGGTTCTGATCAAAAAAACGAAAAAACGACTTTTTGGTAAAAGCACTTCTGGCGGCGAGAAATTAAAACTACCTGTGCAATGAATTTCCGAACTATTTTTGCCTCCTATTTCGAATGGTGCATTTATTTTCACTATCGGAATGATACTTGCCCAGATAATTAGCATTTTTACAATGGAAAATTCCGGAAAACTAGGTTTTTCCTAATTTAAAAAAAATTGAAAAACTGCTACATCTTTTTTTTCTTTTTTTCGGAAAGATCACATCAAAATACACAAGGTCTTTTTTGTTTCATCCAATTACAAATTAATGTAAGCTCGAAGGGGCTTTTTTTCGTTATTTAATTGGACTAATGATTTCTTTATTGCGTTATAAGAAGCAAGACGAGAAATTCCCTTTGAGACGAGATTTCTCGTTTCGATAAAACCCTATTTTCAAAAATATGCTTTTGATCATTTGTAATTTAGACAGGGCCGACAAGAGGGGGGGGGGCAGCCGGGACTAATTCCCGGGGCCCGGGCTCAAATGGGGGCCCGGCAGCGGTATAAGGGGGGCCCGGCAACTGTGGCGAGGATTTTTTTGTTACTTTCAGAAGTTCAACACAAGAGGGGGAAGTTCTTGGTTGAAGACCTTTTTTTTTAATTTTTTATAAAATTGTTGCGGGGCCCGATCTGGAGAATTGTTCTAATTTCGATCTATTTTTGGTTTCGATCTTTTCTCACTTTCGACCTTCTGACTGTTGATCATTTTTCCGATCACCAATAAATGTACCCTAGTCGGTATATTATTTCAATTTTATTTTACTGATAAAGAAAGTTATATGATATAAACTTACCTGTTTAATATGTAAAACTGCAAATTCGGCAAAAATTTCACCAAGTTCTATTTATCACCTCATTTAGTTTAAAAAAATTTAAAAAGCGGTTACCGGCTACAAATAAATGTCTCAAAACAACTCACTCTATCGACAGCGAAAAAACCACTTTAACAATCAAAGTACCCAAACCACGTAAACACTTGATTTATCAAAAGATTTTCGTGAACAATCCCGGATTCTCTGCAACGCACCACGTGTGACATTTACCACCTGACTGAATTCTACCGTTTTCCAGGTATAACTTTCATACTAGCGCCCCACCAGGTAAGGCAACTGCTGTAAAATTATACAGAACACGTGCGGGATTTCGATACCTCCTCTAGGGCGATCTCGCCTCGCTATTGGTCAGGCCTGTGAAGGAGGCGGCGCGACCGATCGTGATTGTTAAGTGATTGGGAGAGACTTTGTGTCTTAATTTACAGGTATCTTGATGAGTTGGTTAATTGCAAATTGATTTTTACTGGATTTTTATGTATGAGGTTGGTGGCGGTAGGTATTTTACGTGGCGACGCGACATTACTAGTTTTCTACCAGTTTTTTATGTAGTCGCTAGGTTTAATAGCTATATATTTTTCTTTCTCTCTATCACTAACGTAGGTAGCCAGTTAATTTTTTTATTGGGTACAGAACTGTATTTTTGCTTTGAAATCTACACAATTATAAATGATAAATTCTTTAGTGTCCAATAGAGAATTTTCATTTACAAGACAATGTAAATTAGAATACATAAATGTAAATATACCTAATACAGTAACACTTCAATAGTATAGGTCATTCACTGAATTTACACCCATACCTATCGGATTAAGAAATTTTTTGCTACGGTAGCAAAAAATGTATTAACCCTTAAAAAAACTCTATTAAAATAGGGGACAGCCAAAGTACTTTGCTAATGTTAAAAAATTCACTTTTTTGGACTTACTTTTTAGTCCCTAAAAACGTACTTTTTAGTTTTTATTAATTTTAGTGGTTAGAAAGTAAAATTTTACTCACTAAAAAGTAGTTTTTTTGTGGTTAAAAAGTAGGTTTTTAGTAGTTAAAAAGTAGTTTTCTTGCAGTTAAAAAGTATATTATTATCTTTAACAGGTAGTTTTAATTGTTGAAAGTTATTTTGTATCTTTTAAAAATAGTTTTTAGTGGTTAAAAATGATATTTCTAGTGGTTAAAAAGTAGTTTTTAGTGGTTAAAAGTAGTTTTTATTGGTTAAAAATTAGGAATTGTTTAAGAAAGTACTTTTGTGAAATTAAAAAATATTTTTTTTAAATTAAAAAATTGTTTTTAGTGGTTAAAAAGTAGTGTGTAGTGGTTTAAAAGTAACTTTTTACTTTTAAAAATCTGATGTGTCCAACACATGACTTTCCTATCTAGTTATTATAGGCTTTTCCCGGTTATTTTGTACAACCTATTGCAGCACCTCTATAAATGTTTAGAGGATAAACTAAATATATACATTTTCCGCATACATCTACCTCGAAACATTTTCTATAGATATTCATTGAAAACGAAAATACTGAAAAATTTAAATTTAGCACTCTTCCTCCAATTTTTCCATTACGGTCCATTTTAGAAAAATCAGGTATAAACAAAAATTATAGAGATTGATATCGCAAACAACTTTTAGTTCAACAATTTTCATAAAAATCCGAATTTTTGCACATTTTGCCAAATTTCTCGAATACGGACCATTTCAGAAAATTTTAACAGAAAAAAAAATTATAGATAATAATATTAGAAGTAATTTTTATTTGAACAATTTTCTTCTCCAAACATAAATAACAAACATATTCCATAAAATATAAAAACGGCCTCCCATAAAGTACCCCCCCAGATGTTCCGACTTTGTCCAAAATCTAATCATTTCACGTCAGGGCGAAATAAAACTTAAGTTTAAAATTTAATGTTTTTTTTTCTCTATCCGTTTTTGAGTTTTCTTCAAAATTCGAAATTTACACATTTTCTTAAATATCTCGAATACGGTCCATTTTAAAGAAATTATGTATAGATTAAAAATTATAAAGAATTATATTGCAAACAACTTTTATTTAAAAATTTTTTATAAAAAATTATTTTTTTACATTTTATAAGAATAAGGAGCATTTTAGGAAAATAATATTAGAAGTAACTTTTATTTGAAAAATTTTCTTCTCTAAACGTAAATAACAGTACCCCCCCCCAGATGTTCCGACTCTGCCCAAAATATAATCAGTTTATTGGACGCTGGAATAAAGCTTAAGTTTAAAATTTTGAGTTTTTCTGTGTATCGGTTCACGAGTTATGGTGGATACAGATACACACACAGACACACACACAGACACACACACAGACACACACACAGACACACACACAGACACACACACAGACACACACACACACACACACACACAGATACACACACAGATACACACACACACAGATACACACACAGATACACACACACACAGATACACACACAGATACACACACACACACACACACACACACACACACACACACACACACACACACACACACACACACACACACACACACACACACACACACACACACACACACACACACACACACACACACACACACACACACACACACACACACACACACACACACACACACACACACACACACACACACACACACACACACACACACACACACACACACACACACACACACACACACACACACACACACACACACACACACACACACACACACACACACACACACACACACACACACACACACACACACACACACACACACACACACACACACACACACACACACACACACACACACACACACACACACACACACACACACACACACACACACACACACACACACACACACACACACACACACACACACACACACACACACACACACACACACACACACACACACACACACACACACACACACACACACACACACACACACACACACACACACACACACACACACACACACACACACACACACACACACACACACACACACACACACACACACACACACACACACACACACACACACACACACACACACACACACACACACACACACACACACACACACACACACACACACACACACACACACACACACACACACACACACACACACACACACACACACACACACACACACACACACACACACACACACACACACACACACACACACACACACACACACACACACACACACACACACACACACACACACACACACACACACACACACACACACACACACACACACACACACACACACACACACACACACACACACACACACACACACACACACACACACACACACACACACACACACACACACACACACACACACACACACACACACACACACACACACACACACACACACACACACACACACACACACACACACACACACACACACACACACACACACACACACACACACACACACACACACACACACACACACACACACACACACACACACACACACACACACACACACACACACACACACACACACACACACACACACACACACACACACACACACACACACACACACACACACACACACACACACACACACACACACACACACACACACACACACACACACACACACACACACACACACACACACACACACACACACACACACACACACACACACACACACACACACACACATCATCATCGCGAAAATAGTCAAAACCGATTCAGGGGACCTCAAAACGTAAAAATCCGTCGAAAACTCGAGGTTGAAAAAATCATGATTCCTATACTTTCCTTATAATCTGTATACAGATAGGAAAGTAAAAAGGTTCAAAATAAAGGAATTAATTTAACCGTATTTTTAGATTATACATTCTGTTTTTATAAAGACTGAGTTAAAATAATTATTTTATTAATTATTATAATATTATTTTGATTTTTTTTGTCAAACCTGTCTTCATTATCCATGCATACTTTCTACGAAAAAAACATACTTTATATAAAAGGATATTCATATGTCGGTAAATATGATTAAAGGCAGAAAATAAATCCATACAAGCAAAAAGTAGCTTGTTATGTCAAAATAATGAAAGGTGTCATAAAAATTAAGCATGAGTGCAAAATGATGGCGAAATTGCCATCATTACTTATTGAAATCACTTGCCGGTCGACTTTTCGAAGTTCAACATCAGTAGCGTGAATTCGCCGAACTAAGGGGTCTCACACACAAGCATATTTTCCTTGTGACCTAGATAGTACATACACCATTAGGGTTATTACATTTTTGTAGTTTACAAGAGCTTCAGAAAAGTAACTGCTAATGATTTACGAAAAGGCGAAATTTGTTAAAAAAAAATGACTAAATGAAAATACCATAATTAAGAAAAAATTTTTGTTTTTCACATATTTATTATTTATTTATTTTTTCTACACAAACATGGATGTTATCTATTCTTTTCACAGACTATAGAACGAAAAAATATAATTTCATATCCATTCTAGGTATGTGAAATCCACCAATTTATTATTATTATTATTTTTAATATTACCTATTATTATTATTATTATTGTTCATTCTGTGCTAACGATAGAAAATAAATTTTATGAGAAATTTTTATTTATATAAAATTCTGCTACAGTCAGGAAATTATCCTTATTCAAATATTTTTTAAATAGATATTTTATGTTAATAACTATTTTGGAGTATGCAAAATTGATAGATACTATTATGTGAGCCATTTCATTATTCAGTCATGCTCTAATCCTCCAAGTCCCTCTCTGTCTTATTTGGCCTTTGAGGCTCAACTTGTTCGATTATTATACATAATTAAACCCCTTAAGACCAAACCTATGTGACGACTATGGCGGAGGCACTTTCGCGACCATTCCTGAGTCAACGGGATAATGTTTCTAATGTATTCCAAATATAACGTGTTTTTAATTTTGGCGAGAACGTTCTGGAGCCTCACCAATAATTTAAAATTTGTATATAAGTATTGGTAAAGGCAATAAATTTGACCATCGCCCTTCGAGGAGACGCTTTGGATGTCCTTCAGACTATACCCGTGGAAGAGACAGATGATTTTGAACAACTCAAAAAGAGACTTACTATGTGATATGGCCACGAACACTTGGAGCATTTATACCAGTCACAGTTGAAGAATCGTAAACAGAAACCAGACGAGACTCCTCAGAAATA